TTGTGAGATAATGGTTTGAAAAAATATCTTGTTGGTTGAAAAAAAGATTTGAAGTATTAAAGGGAGAGGTGCTGCATTTTGGGGGATTGATTTGAATGTTGAATATATGTAAATAGTTTTCAGAAGTACTAGAAATGTACGAAAATCACATAATTCCTTTAAAAATATCTCAAACTAGGAATTTTACTCACTATTTCTATAGATGTCTTTTCTATATATCACAGTGTCTCAAGAAAAGATGAGTCCTCATTTTAACTTTCAAATGCAGATAATTCTAGACACACATGGATTTGAAGGCTAAAATTTTGACGTTGAACTGTGAACACTATTACTGATTGACTTAGCTAAAAAATTCCCATTCCTGAGACTAAAGAATGATTGGTCCAGGTCCAAAAAAAGGGCACACCTGTCCCTTTAAAATGATTTAATATTGGATCTAAAGAATTTTATTTCATTTGCACCAAGAATGTAATAATTTGCTAATAAAATGATCATTAAGCCATGATGACCCATAAGGATGTAAGAAATTAACCAAGGTGATTTAATTAATTGCTTTGATTACCATTAATTACCTTCTCCTATTCCCCTGGGCATACTCATCAATCATTGAGTGTCATACTGTACTCAGGAAGGTAAGTGAAGTTTAGTTGAATTTCTTCAAGTGATATTGTGGACATACTTAACTTGTGTGAGATTTCAGATTATTTTGTGATATTTTCGTGATTTTTGAATCGTGATTTTAGTTTTGAGCGATTTTGTGAATTCTTATGGATATTTTCGTTCAAGTGGTAATTTAAAATTTTGGAAAATTTGAACCCCCCTGTTTTGTTTCCAAAAAATTTGAAGGTTTGCATTTAAAATTTTGGTTTCTTGCAATGTTGATAGGCAATGTTGAAATTTTGGAAAAGTCTGACCTTTTGTTAGTCAAAACCCAGCCTGAATGTGAGGGTGGCTTGTAGCAAAATCAGTTAGGGTATTAGAATCTATACATGATATCATTTGCTGGGTTATGTTGAACAAATAGTGGTTGTGGCTTCTAATCTCAGTTGGCATATGAAAGTCTGATCTTAACTCCAAATTCCAGGCAACCCAGCTGTAAATGGGTACAGATAATCCAGGAAAGATCAATACCAAGAGGTTTAGTCAAGGACCAGCTGGTAGAAAGGATCCTTAACTGTGAACCTTTGTTGTTATCCTTGTAAAATATAGTTGTTTATTTCTTACAAGTTTTAAATGCTAAATTCAAGCTATTCTCCTACAAAATCAGCAATTTTTTTTACCATTTTCTTGAAAGTCGGCCATTTTGGACAGTGGTGAATTTAAGCGAAAAAAAATGGAAACATTCCGCCGTTAAAAAGGTAAAATTGGTACAAAATGAATTTGAGACGGACATTGGAAGGCGTCTGCCAAAGATTGCACCGTTGTTAATAAACCAAATTTGTTTTCTTTTCTTTGAGAGTTCCACTTTTCGTGAGTGATGTTTGTGTTTGACCATATGTTCAACGAAATCTACGCAAAGAAAATATTTTTTAATTTTGTTAAGTTACGAATATTATTATGATTATTATTTTTCGGCCTTGCAGCAAAATCTGCTTTTTGAATTCTTGGCATTGAATGAAAGAAAATGGAAAGGAACCTTGCATGCTCTTTGTGGGTTGTCCAAAACAGCTTTTCTGCAAGCTATGCATAGTTTTAGTGCATCAACTTTCAGTTGATTCAGCTGTAAATTGGTACGGATAATCCAGGAAAGATCAATGCCTGCCAAGAGGTTTGGTCAAGGACCAGCTGGTAGAAAGGATCCTTGTGAACCTAAGTTGTTATCCTTGTAAAATCAATATCAAGAGGTTTGGTCAAGGATCAGCTGGTAGAAAGGATCCTTGTGAACCTAAGTTGTTATCCTTGTAAAATCAATATCAAGAGGTTTGGTCAAGGACCAGCTGGTAGAAAGGATCCTTGTGAACCTAAGTTGTTATCCTTGTAAAATCAATATCAAGAGGTTTGGTCAAGGATCAGCTGGTAGAAAGGATCCTTATGAACATAAGTTGTTATCCTTGTAAAATCAATACCAAGAGGTTTGGTCAAGGATCAGCTGGTAGAAAGGATCCTTGTGAACCTAAGTTGTAATCCTTGTAAAATCAATGCCAAGAGGTTTGACAAAGGATCAGCTGGTAGAAAGGATCCTTATTAAACTTGTTTCAGGTTTTCAATTTGTGGAAACAATTCCTTGGCATCTCTGTTTGATTGATGGCTGATGCCTGGAGTTTTCCCTTTGATCTCCAAGTTACAATGACTATGTTTGTTCATAGTATCCTTTTACATGTAATCTCTTATTAACAAAAGACTGGATAAACAATATAGTTAAAGATGGATTCCCTTATTTTCATTTATGAAAATGAAAATACTTATATGAATAGAAAGTAGAGGTGTTCTAATGACTTGGAAAAATACCAGTTTGTCTCACATGTCCATAATTAATTCATAATTAGCTAAATTAGAAGAGAATTACCAGCAGAATTCCAATGAGTGACCGATCAAGAAAGGTCAAAAAGTATTTTTTTGTTTATCCAGACTGTACATACATGGACATTTATGATTGGTTAAAACTCTTAATTATATTCAATAAGAACATAATGATATGATTAAGAATACATGATAATTCATTAGAAACACCAATTAATCAAATAGTTGGCTTAATTTGACACTTAAAAATAAGGAAACCCATCTTTAGGAAAAGTGACTTGTGTAGGAGACCTAAAAAAATTGCCTTTGTCCCTAATTTTGGAAATGAACTCTTCTGCATAGATAGCATGTATAAGTGAAGAAAATGCATATGGAACAGTTCAATCTATTTTAGAGGGGTGTTAATCGATAACTTTGGCTTGTTTTGCATTGATTGACACTGCTCGAAGTTATTTAAATGCAAGACATGGTACATACGTAGTAGCCATTTTCTATGATCATGTGACCAAAAATGGATTAAGAAATTAAGTGGTATTACACCTTTAAAGGTCACAAGGTCAATATAGTTACTAATATCTATTAAATTGATAATAACCATAAGTGTTTTGGGACAATGGATTAAAGAGACTACCCCCTTTAATTCTTGTAATAAGTGAGACTAACGCAATTTTGTAATTCTGAAAGCAGATTTTTCCCTTTAAAGCATGGGGTTTAACATACTCCTCATAGACTATGGTTTACTCATTGCACACTGCATGGTTTCTTTGTCTTGGTTTGAACCTTCAGAGAGAAATATTCTGATGCCACAGCAAGTCCTTTTGCGAGGCAACCAAGTGTATGCATTCAACCCTTAACACTTATTAAAGAGTGCAATGTGCATTGTTTATGAATGTGATATTTTTACAGACTGTTCCGTTTAAAGGTACCGTTGCACCTTTTTTTTGACCAATCATACTTGTCAGAAACAGGAATTTTTTAGCTAAGCCAATCAGTAATAGTGTTCACAGCTCACTGTCGAAATTTGAGCCTTCAAATCCACGTGTGTCTAGAATTATCCGCGTTTGAAAGTTAAAATGACGACTCGTCTTTTCTTGAGACACTGTGATATATAGAAAAGACATCTATAGAAATAGTGAGTAAAATTCCTAGTTTGAGATATTTTTGAAGGAATTATGTGATTTTTGTACATTTCTAGTACCGGTACTTCTGAAGACTATTTACATATATTCAAGACTCAAATCAACCCCTAAAATGGCGCATCTGTCCCTTTAATGTATGGATTATGTATTTATAAAGTAATATAAGGGTATTATATATACAGAGTGTTACTAGTAGCTTGGTATTGATTAAGTTTTCAATAGTGGAGGTGAAATAAACCTAGTTTATTTACTACAATACCTTACATAGTTTACTTCAATAGACAGCTGTCTTTATATGTGTCATTGCTATTTTCGTGATATGATTATAAATTTTGTGATATATCTTGTGATATTTTGTGATAGAAGCCAGGTTTGATTTTAAATTTAGGAAGTTTTCAATAGTGGAGGTGAAATAAACCATTTCTAGTTTGTTTACGACCATACCTTGCATAGTTTACTTCAATAGACAGCTGTCTTTATATGTATCATGGCTATTTTCGTGATACGATTATAAATTTTGTGATATATCTTGTGATATTTTGTGATAGAAGCCAGGTTTGATTTTAAATTTAGAAAGTTTTCAATAGTGGAGGTGAAATTAAACCATTTTCAGTTTGTCTTTATATGTGTCATGGCTATTTTCGTGATATGATTTCAAATTTTGTGATATTTTGTGATGGGAACCTAAGCCATCTTTTGTTTTCTAAGTCGTCATTTTAACTTTCAAACACGAATTATTCTGGACACACGTGGATTCGATGGCTCGAATTTCGACAGTGAGCTGTGAACACTATTACTTAGCTAAAAAATTCCTGTTTCTGAGACTAAGATATGATTGGTCAAATTTTACTATTTTAGCAACCAGTCCAGGCCGTCTTTTGTCGAAGCTGTCTGTAGACAGAGAAGGACTGGATGTTAGAGGCTATGAAATGTCTTGATTTGTTATTTGGTGATTTGATAGGTTTTGATTGATGGTTTTCGTGTCACGGTTGGTATTTTTTGGTGTATCAGTTTGTTTGTAGGGTGTGTCAGTTGGTCTATTTGGTTGTGTAAGAGATAACACTTTTGGATTGATTTTGCTGTATACGTTGCAAGGATGTCAAATTAGTTGTATTTGCCAGTTGTGTTTGACTGAAATTCGAAAGTTGGCTGATTGTGGAAGTCAATTTTAGTCCTCCGTTTTTCGGTTTCAAGGGAAACTAAAGTTTGGTTTTGGATTTTTGACTCATTGACTCGTTCTTTCAGATTATGACTCTGTGATGATGAATACAATATAAAACTTTTGACTCCTTTGAATTGACTCTTGTGATTTGACTCTTAAATATGCACTGAACTAGACTGTATCTTCCAGTTTAAGGCCACAAAATTTTGGAAAGAGTCACAAAAAAACACACCGTCAAAATGTTTTGTTGTTTGAAAAATCGAAAATCTCAATATACTATGGAAGAAAACGAACCTCGGAAAAATTCCGAAGACAAGACAAGTCTTCGGAATGGAAGTGTGACAATATCGGAACCGATTCCAATCAAAGATGGCGCTTCCCAAGAGCCTGATAGTGTATATGAGAATCAAAACCATATTCCAAGTCCGAGTTTGGAGCATTCCGAACGGGAGCAGCATAAGAAATATTTGGAAGACAAAAGTGCCAAAAATAGCGAAAATGAAAATGCTCATTTGGAAGTGACGAAAACTGAAAGTGGAGTGAAATATGAAAATGTAGAGTTGAAAATTGCGGAGGGGAAAAATGCGGAGTTGAAAATATTAGAAGTGAAAAATGATATTGAGGCTGCGAATGTTTCAAAATACGAAAACGTGGTGCCGATGTCAAACAGTATGCCGCTATATTCCGTTTGTGACAAAACAAAAAACGCTGCCAAAAACACAAGCGAAACTAGCGAAAATGTTACGAAAGAGTGCTCAGAGACTTACGAAAATGTGGAGAGGAGCGAAAATAGCGTCAGTATTGTAGACAAACTTTCTGATTCTTTTATTACAGACCTCAAATCATCTCAACCACCAGATTTGGTAACCAAGGCAACCACTGAAGATCTAGCCAGTCAGCTTGAATCTGCTCAACAGGAAGTGGCATTGACGCTACAGGAAGCTGAAGATTTTGAATTTGATGAAATGTCCCAAGAGATGTTGAATAATGCAGTTTCACGATTAGAGTCTGTGGCAGCACGGCTCGAAGCCCTTTCCAAAAATGTAGGAGCTGCGGCTCCCTCTGGTGGAAGCATCGCCTCTTCTGATTCAGGTTTGTAATCCATATTTTGTTTGTTTCTTTGTACTGTTGCATAAATAATCTTATCTGGATTTTTCGTTTCATGTTTTTTCTGCGGGTAACTACACTGCCATCCATGATCCAACAATTTTGAGAGTTCACATGGCTAATAATTTGATATTTGTTTTTCAGGAGAAGCTGGGCCTACAGTATTAGCTTTTGATGAAGTGTTAAGTGGTCCATTATCTAAATTTGTATCTTTGTCTGATAAATTAGACTCTGATATCAAACATATGGTAAGTCAGCCATGTGTGTCACTTTTCAGAATTTAAATTCCTTTTTAATAAAGTTACCCACGTTCCAATCTATTTATTGATAAGGGAGCATGTTTTTCAACATAAATGTCTTAGAAGATGTTTCTTTGACAGGAAAAATTTAGAATGTGAACTCCCTAAAATGTTTCTGGTCTCATTTGCAGGTATCTCTGGTAGAAAAGAGTTTCAAGTCTCAGAAGAATATCATTCATATTGCTGCTCAATCTCAAAAACCATCCATGGTAAGTACATTATCATCGGGGGCTTGGTTCACCAGGATCTTTTCTACCAGCTGGTCTTTGACCAAACCTCTTGGCATTCATTTTACAAGGATAACAACTTAGGTTCACCAGGATCTTTTCTACCAGTTGGTCCTTGACCGAACCTCTTGGTATTGATCTTTCCTGGATTATCTGTACCCATTTCATTAGTCCATTAAGGTGCCTATTATAGGGTGTAAAGCTCCATTTCATTTCTTTTGAGAAGCTAGATTAAAATTGGCAAAGCAGAAACAATTCTTGTAATGCTGCCGTCTGCTATTTTAATTCTAATAAAAAATGGCGGATAGTTGCTTTAAATGATAATTATACAAATGTTGAAAGGAATTCAATCACTTTGTAAAAAAAATTCACTGCAACTCACCTAGAAAATAGCTCTTTAAACTCACTGTGTACAAGACGTGTTGTCAAAATAATTTATTGCTAGCTAAGCTAATCAGTAATAGTGTTCACAGATCACTGTCGAAATTTGAGCCTTCAAATCCATGTGTGTCCAGAATGAGTCAGGATAATTTTCGATTTCCAACTGTCGAGGGATCTTTAATGTGCACAGCCTGTAGCACATGGGACCCGTCCGAACGACTAGACGCTTTTTCCATGTCAGCCCCTCTTACCTACATCACTCACAGGGAAACGGGGTGTGCTACAGGCTCTGCGCGTTAAAGATCCCTCGACAGTTGGAAATCGAAAAAGAGTAGGCTAATGCCGCTGTCCTGGCAATATTTCCATCATTGCACACTGCATGGCGTTGCCTGTCTTCATTGGCCCACATGGTGCAGAAAAGTAGGACGTAAAACTCCATTCATTTCAGCTATCTTGGATATGGCAGATTCGTCAATTCTGGCATATCTGCACTTTAAAGAAAATATTCAAATCTATTTCTAAATTGCCTGTGTCTAATAATATACAAAAATTCGAGTCGATTATTTTCGCATTTTTGTTAGAATTTGATTCAAAACGCACACCTTTTCCACTAATACCTCGCTAATGATGAAAGAAGTGCATTGAAAAATGTGAATTGATAGTTTATGAGTTATCTGCTCTTTGTTTTGACCTTAACCTTGGTGAGAATTTGGCGGCAAAGTGTACTTTTAGCTAAGGTTGTCTCAAATTTCTTTTTTGTTTTTTCTTAAAGAGATTGAAAAAAGGTTTTCTAAATTTTGTATGTGTATCTTGGACACTGATAGCATCAATTTACACCATTCCAATTTTCAATCAGATGTCTGTGGTTCTTGTAATTCCACTGAAACTTAATGATTTAGGACGTCACTAATTGCAAAATCTGCAGATATTAGTAGAATTACAGGAACCACAGACGTCTGATTGAAAATTAGAATGATGTAAATTGATGCTATCAGTGTCCCTGATATACATAAAAAATTTAGAAAACCTCTTTACAATCTCTTTAAAGTTTCATGAAAATCGTTTGATTTTTTGGTCGTCCTAGAAATATTTTATGCAGAGGTGCAGGCACTAGATTTTTAAATTTTTTGGAAATACAAAACTTTGTAAAATTTGCAGTACAAATTATAATTTCATAGCCATCAGAAACTAAACAAAATTACAGACAAAAACAGGAACGAAAATATATTTCTTTCAAAAATATGTAAACATGAGCATATGTTTTGAGAAATTTTCTGCGGGATTGAAATTGAATTTTTGAAAACAGAAACTCGTTTCAAAGATTCTTATCCTATGCCAAAATAAACAGAGGTTATTTGTGTCAGAATTGAGGTTAGAGTGTTCTCCCCTTGTGTGAACAGCTGTCGCTGGCTCGTTGATCTTTTTGCCTGATGGGTAGACGTCGACTTTGAGAAAAAGTTGGACTCTTACCTTAAAGGTATTCTTGGCGTTTCTAGGGAACATTAGCTGAAGGAGACAAGCTGGGGTCAGAATATTTTTCAGGGGGGCACAGGCAATTTTTTCATTTGATAATGAAGGAGGGCGGGTCAAAGATGGGACTCATTTCTTAGGGGGCAGCGTTTGCCCATTAGCACAAACAGAAAAGTAGGACGTAAAATTTCATTTCATTTTTTTTTATGGTTTTTAGGATGTTATGCTTGAAATTTTCAAACCTTTGAATACGAACGTAGCTGAAGTTCAGGTAAATTTTATTGTTATTTGGCATTCCAAGAATTACAGGAACCACAGACATCTGACTGAAAATTGGAATGATGCAAATGGAAGCAAAAAATGGCACCAATACAGATATAAAATCTAGAAAAGCCCTTTGAATTAACGGCCTCAATTTTTGCAAGGGTTCCTTAAGATTTTTCAAAAAAATCCAGACCCCATGTGCCACATTGTAAATTCTCAAGGCAAACTTCCAGGTAAAATTTCCCTCATTGCACATCGCATGACTTGCTTCCATTTCATTTCCAGAGTTTCCGAGAATCCAAGAGAGCCAAAAGAGAGGTAGAGAACCATCTGGCCTGTTTGAGCGAGTCTATCGGAGCTCTAGGATGGGTTGGAGTAGAACCAACACCAGTACCTTTTATCAAGGAGATGAAGGACAGTGGAGTCTTCTACAGCAATAGAATCCTGAAAGAGTTCAAAGAAAAGTAAGTCTCCAACTTGATTTACCAAGGGTGCTTGAGTCTTCTGGCTATGACCTTTGATGACTGAAGTTGATATTGTCATCATGAATTGTGAATCCATTTGGCTGAGAAGGAAATGAAAAAGCAACCATTTTGTAAGAGAACCACTTAGGGTCACAAGGATCTGGTCCACCAGCTGGTCCTTGACCAGACCTCTTGGTATTGATCTTTCCCAGATTTTCTGTACCCATTTACAGCTGGGTTGACTGGAATAATGAGGATCCTTTCTACCAGCTGATCCTTGACCAAAACTCTTGGCATTGATCTTTCCCAGATTATCTGTACCCATTTACAGCTGGGTTGACTGGAATAATGAGGATCCTTTCTACCAGCTGGTCCTTGACCAAACCTCTTGGTATTGATCTTTCCCAGATTATCTGTACCCATTTACAGCTGGTTTGACTGGAATAATGAGGATCCTTTCTACCAGCTGATCCTTGACCAGACCTCTTGGTATTGATCTTTCCCAGATTTTCTGTACCCATTTACAGCTGGTTTGACTGGAATAATGAGGATCCTTTCTACCAGCTGGTCCTTGACCAAACCTCTTGGTATTGATCTTTCCCAGATTATCTGTACCCATTTACAGCTGGGTTGACTGGAATAATGAGGATCCTTTCTACCAGCTGGTCCTTGACCAAAACTCTTGGTATTGATCTTTCCCAGATTTTCTGTACCCATTTACAGCTGGGTTGACTGGAATAATGAGGATCCTTTCTACCAGCTGGTCCTTGACCAAAACTCTTGGCATTGATCTATCCTAGATTATCTGTACCCATTTACAGCTGGGTTGACTGGAATAATGAGGATCCTTTCTACCAGCTGGTCCTTGACCAAAACTCTTGGTTGTCTTATGATTTATGTTTTGGAATTTCAGAGATGCCTCCCAAGTGGAATGGGTAAAAGCCTGGAATGCCACTCTGGATGCTCTACAAGCTTACGTTAAGCAACATCATACCACTGGACTCACATGGAACCCTAAGGTAAGCCTGCAAATAAATTCTATGGTGGTCATCACGAAAAATTAAGTTTCTTTGGACACTATGACTTCTGCAGTGGGTGTTGCTACGTCTGCAGGGTCTGGAGAAGCAACATTTATCCAAAAGATGCTCCGATCAAAATCTTGAATGATCCAACATAGCTAATGGACTCATTTCATGTCTACCTCATTGATTGTGTTAACTTTTGGACTCAATTTGGGTGGGTGTATGTTTTCTACGTACTTATACCTTGACTGCAATAGCCACCTTTCTTGTATCATGAGAGTGTGTAAATGAAGTGATTTGATTGGATGGTACGCTGGCAAATACAGCCAATCATAGGACTCGACAGAAAGTCTGTGATCACAAAGCCACAATGATTGCAGTCTTTCTGTCGAGGGCTCTGATTGGCTGTATTCACTTGCGTACAATCCAATCAAATCACTGCATTCTGCGACACAAGAATAGTGGCTATTGCAGTCAAGGTATAAGTATGAAGTTAGTAGTAGCTCAACATTGTGAATATGTTTGAGTTAAGAAGGGAGATAGCCAGTGGAAGGAAAGACCACGAAATTTAGATCAATCAGCAAATAAATTAATGATGTAAACAAACCCACCAGCCAAACACAATATTTTGACGAAGAAAATAGGTCACTAGATGGACTGGGAACATATGTTCCTTTTGTTGTTTCACTAGATCTATTGAGAACACATGTTCCTTTCGTTGTTTCATTGAATCTTTTTCTTGCCTTACAACATTTGCAGCTTGGGTTTATCAAAATTGGTTATTTTCATTTCATTGGCCCTATAATGTTCAGAAAAATCAAATTTATTTCATTTCATTAACTTGCAGAAAGATGCAGAGATTTAGGACAAAGTTCCATTTCATTTCATTTCATTTGTTCAGACTAGAATGAAATACCCTATTTCATTCATTAGCCCAAAGATACAGAACAGCAGGATATAAAACTCCATTTCATTTCGTTTGTAATTTCACCACATTTTGAAATGAAACAGAAAAACTAACTTTAGCATTTTTGAGTCGAAATTAATTTTAAAATTTAATTGGTGATTTTTAAAAACATTTGTGTTGACGATGGTTTATCAATGAAATAATTCGACCAATGAGAAACGAGATACTATAATGATTAGTTCCTAACAACTGTTTAAGATAAGATCTCTGATTGGCTGCCAACATGAGTAATTGGCTAATCAAAACCTCTGATATTTGAGATTTTGGGATTTTTTGTAAAATTCTTTTGAGTAATTTGGAAAAGTGGGTCACATGGGCAAATAATAAAAAAAAATCTGTGTGGACTCTCTGGATGAAAAATATTTGAAAATGTAATTCATGAATTGTTTGAGAAATATTTTGAACCAAAACACGATTTGATTTCGTTAATGTTTATTTGAAGTTGTCATTTTTAAACACAAAATATACATTTTCTTTTTCAAATACTTTCAAAATATTTTTATTTTTAAAGATTAGGCATTAAAGGGATTGTAAAAAGGTTTTCTAATTTTTTTATGTGTATCAGGGACACTGATAGCATCAATTTACACCATTCTAATTTTCAATCAGACGTCTGTGGTTCCTGTAATTCCACTAAAACTAAGTGTGATGACGTCACAAAAGCTGAAATCTTTCTTTGTTGGTTTTTATCGCATTAAGAGATCACACTCAAAATAATTCCAAACATCTAGATTTTAGAGAGTTTACAAGGTTTTTTAATTGTTGAAAATATACGCTTTTGTTTGAAACTGATGGAGTATTAATGTTTGTTTGTTGGCACGGTAACAAAAATGACGATGATAAAATCGTGAATATTTATGATAAATAGTAAAAGTAGTAAAATTTAAAAAAAGCAAAAAACACAAAATGTGTAGGTACATTTGTACTTAAAGGGACAGATGTGCCATTTTCGCATGTTGATTTTAGTCTTGAATATATGTAAATAGTCTTCAGAAGTACTAGAAATATACACAAATCATGTAAATCCTTCAAAAATATCTCAAACTAGGAATTTAACTTTCAGTATTTTGTTCCACATATTTTCTGTGGGTAACTTCACTTATCCTAGGATCTGAAGACAAATGCTTGTCCTTTTGTGCCACATGCTGCACATTTTAAAGATTTTCAAATTCGTTGACCAACGAATACAGCCAATCAGAGGTCTCGACAGAAAATCTGCAAACAATAAGCCATAATGTTGACAGTCTTTCTATCGAGGGCTCTGATTGGTTGTTTTCGATAGTGTACAGTCCAATCAAATTGCTGCATTTATTAATTTCATGATACAAGAAAGGTGGCTATTGCAGTCAAGGTATAAGACTAATTTGTAATAGCTTAACATAGTGAAAATGGCTATGACCAACTTTTGTGGAGAAAATCTGTTAAAACTGATTTTGAAGGTGATGAATATGTTTTTTCTCTACGTCTTCATACATATTCGCCGTCTGCCAACTTTGATAGCCTATTTACTCAATGAGCCATAGATATTAATGGGCAAAGTAGTTCCTCGACCATAACAAACTAACAAATAATAGATTTTAAAAATGTGTAAATCGGTTTGTAGGGGTCCCTCAAATGTCGATCAATTTCTGTTTTTTTGATTTAGTATTTTAGTACTTGCTTTACGAGAAAAAAACTTGTAAAAAAAAATGGTGTTTTTTAGTCATTTTTGATGGTCTTTTGGTTCGTTTTGAGTATTTGATACATCTTAGTTAACTTGACCTTTGTACTGGGCTGTACACGGCTGTACACGGCTGTACACGTAAAAGTTCTTCCATAGTTGGAAACAGAAACAGTAGGCTAAAACTGCATTGCCTACATAGGTCGAGATAATACCTTCGGATTTTTCAACCCGGTTTCCCCAACAGTGATGCAGGTAAGAGGGGCTGACATGGAAAAAGTGTCTAGTCGTTCAGATGGGACAATAAACCGAGGCCCAGTGTGCTACAGACTGTGCTCGTTAAAGATCCCTTGATAGTTGGAAATCGAAAAAGAGCAGGCTAATGCAGCTGTCCTGGCAAAATTTCCTTCATTGCACCCTGCATGGCGTTGTCCATCTTCATTAGCCAACATGGTGCAGAAAAGTAGGATGTAAAACTCCATTCATTTCATTTTTTTTTACGTTGCCTGTATTCATTAGGTCCGTTTCCTTCATTTTCATTCTCTCCTCGGCTGTTTTGAAAAACAGAAACTTAAAAAAATTCTGTGACCAAATTATATTCACAGAATAAAATGATGTTAAACAGACTTCAGTTAAACTACGTCTGCTGGCTTAAATCACAGTTTCTGGTTTCTTGCTGCGGGACAGTAAATCATTTGCTGTGGGACTGTAAATTACCGACTGCTGTACTGTGATGATAGTTCTGAAGGTTATGGATCCATTAAATGAATTAAAAAATACTTCAAATTTCAACCAGAGTTCTTGGAATGTTTTCATTAAAACATTTCTGTATTTCTGTGACTTAAATTCGGTCAGATGTTTCTAGTTCGGTTCTTTTTTTTATGAAATGGTTTGGAGAATATATTTTGGGTTGCCTTGGTGATGATTTTTGGAAAGTTTTGCTGTTGGTTGAATCCTCTAAGGCTGATGCTCTTTTAAAGAGATTGTAAAAAGGTTTTCTAAATTTTGTACGTGTATCAGGGACACTGATAGCATCAATTTACAACATTCCAATTTTCAATCAGACATCTGTGGTTCCTGAGGTTCATTTCATGATGTCACTAATCGCTAAATATGTTGTATCACATAAGGCCTTTCGCAATTAGTGACGTCATCAAACACTTAGTTTAAGTGGAATTGCAGGAACCACAGACGTCTGATTGAAAATTGGAATGGTGTGAATTGATGCTATCAGTGTCCAAGATACACATAAAAAATTTAGAAAACCTCTTTACAATCCCTTTAATTAATCCATGTCCAGTTTTAGTTTATTTAAAAACCAGCTCTGGTTATCATACAATGAGATAGTGTTATTATCGTATTGTCAGCTCCAAGTCCAAATAATAGGCGCTACTACGTGGTGGGAATAGAAACAGACGGCAAAATTTGAGATAAACTGTGATTAACTTTTAAATAAACACTCCAAGTCAGAAATTGATTTATTTCAATGGAGGAATTTTTCATTTCTGATTTTGTGAAAGAAGAAAACGTAATTTTGAAAAGGGATAGATTAAAAGTGAGGCCTGGTCGAATAAAGCCGTAGATGTAGAAACCTTAGCCGTGGAAGATCATCAGCCTCAAATGACCATCAGTTTGAGAGCTGCAGTTTGGGAGAGCGGCAGTTTGGGAGAGCATCAGTTTGGGAGAGCGGCAGTTTGGGAGAGCATCAGTTTGGGAGAGCATCAGTTTGGGAGAGCTGCAGTTTGGGAGAGCATCAGTTTGGGAGAGCGGCAGTTTGGGAGAGCATCAGTTTGGGAGAGCATCAATTTGGGAGAGTATCAGATTGAGAGAGCATCAGTTTGGGAGAGCATCAGTCAGTTTGATATACATGAAAAATTTAGAAAACCTCCCATTAAATGAAACAGAATACAATAGCAATTGGAAATGGAAAAAGAGAAGGCTAATGCTGCTGTCCTGGCAAAATTTCCCTCATTGTACCCTGCATGACGTCTGTCTTCCTTAGTCCACATGGTGCATAAAAGTAGGACGTAAAACTTCATTTTATTTCATTGCATCTCTAATATTAAAGTCAAAATAAGTGTTAGTAAGATGACGGCCATGTTTGTTTTGATTTTGATACCATCATATCTGGCCTTCTCCTCTCTAATTCTCTTGTTTGTGTGGCCTAATATTATTCTTTTGCCCATAAATAAAGTCATTACGGATGCCTGTGGTCATTAACACATCATTAACAAACGCCTATGGGGAAGGATCTGTCGGCAAGCGGGGAAGAAACAAAGGCTGAATTTTCACAATAATGTGTTTGTAGAGAAAATAATCGTGAATAAATTGTGATTATTTTGTTTGGGTTGTCATGATGAGCGATTTTTTATGTTTTGCGATGATTTTGTTGTT